CATTACTTAAAAGGATTGTATTTAAGGTCCCTAAAAATCTTCATTATTTGTCCAGTGTGTAAGGAATGATTACACCTGGGTGGGTGTTTTTATATGCTAAAAATTATCTTGTAAAATAGATTTGGGTTATGACATGGCTAAATAGAATTAAATGGATTCTTTATTGCAAAATCTTCTATTCTTTGTTGTGTTTAATGTTTTGTGACTTTACATAACAAGTGGCCCAAACGTGCTGCTACTCTCAAATATTTTGATGGTGGAATCCTTTTTCCATGAAACACATTATAGGATTAATGACTCTTAGAACAGAAATCAAGACTTACCAATAGTTCCTTTTAGACTAATAATAGGAACCATGTGAAATTTTTAAATACTGATAGGCAATTGCATGCTAATCTTTTTAACATTGAAGCATTTGATTCAGAAAGTATATAAAGTGTTGTGGTGGTCACATAAAGGGAAGAATATCTGAGGTAAGACGTTTCTTGAGATGATTCTTAAAAACTCAAAACCACCTGTATCTATTGTGAACTGACATAACACTGACTCTAAATTCTCACTCATTCCCAACAGGGTATGATGACAGAATCCACAGGTTAAAACCACTGAGAAGTGACTGTGATTTTGTTGGATGCAATGGGAAGTCCCATATATATAATTGCCCTAATACATTTACTAACCCAATCAAGGAACAAAATATTAAATAAGTAATGATAAAAATCATAACTCACTTTTTTGGTTTTCCACTAGGAAAACATAAATGGAGGCATTTGGGAATTTACTTCTTTCCAGTGTTCTCATAGCTGCCTATAATTTAACGTCTTGGTACAGCTTTGACTTTTGGCATGATAAATTATTCTGAAATAAAATATTTACTTAATAAATAACAAATATGCATGTACACTGACAGCAGAGACAGAAAATCTTTTTTAACATATCATGTTATACAATAAAATAATGTCACAATTGTAAGAATGTATTCAGTTATTTTGTGGATGTGTTTAAAATGGCATTTCTGTTCCTTAGATCTTGTGGAGTATGTGTTTTTATCAGTATTTAAAAGAGAATGTATCTATCATTCATTTTTTTTATAAACTTATAAATGTGTGTTTTTTTCCTTCTTGATCAGAGGCTTTAGCATGTCATATAACTTTAATTCCTCATGGTAAATGACAATGAATTTATATTTTAGTTTATTCATAGACCATCTGAATTTATTATGTGGGTTACATTTTTTTATGCTAATGTTATAAAATAATTGAATGACTCAGCTTCTGGAATTCCATGAATAAAATATAAAAGATAGGTTTATTTGCAATACATAAATGAAAGGCTTTCGTGCATCTCCTACTGATATCTTTTTAAAAGAATCCAATTATTTTTCACTCATTATGAGAGCTGTAAAAGTTAGGTCATATATATTTGCATATGTTTTCTTTTCATTTTAATCACTTTGAAAGGCTGTTAAATATTCCTCCAGAGAAGACTGAAAATAAGAAGAAAACTAGGTCCACTTTAAGCTAATCCTATGCAGTTCACTGAACTGGATTTTGAACTTGACCCACCGTGGCTGTGTCATGGATCATTCACTTTTTGTCTTCAGAAATGGATGATGTAAAAGAACCCAGTTGCTTTCCACCCAGAACACTTCATATTCAGCTAAGCAAAATGATTTCAGGTGATTTTGCTTTTGCAGTAGCTTATAAGAAGGGTATACAATATGCTGCTTCATTGTGTTAAATTCTAAAACCTTAGACATCAAAATAACCTTCATATTTCTTATTATATCAGTGTCCAAGCACTTTCCTAGAGTTGCATAGTGTGGTCAAACAGCTAAGCTTCTCCTTTTGAAAATGCTTATAATGTGCAGAACTGGTGTCAAAATGGTATGCAACTAGATGCTCATTTTTTATAATTCTTATTAAAATACTATCAGCTAAAATTTATAATAATAATTATATGACAAGTACCTTTTTAAACATATAATTTTCACCTACATGAAACTCTTTGAAGCAGCCATTATTATTGTCCCAATTTGTAGATGAGAAAATAGGAAACAAAAAAGTAACGTAATTTAGGCAAAACTGTCATATAGAGAAACATAAAATAAAGAACCTCTGGATTCTTCTTAAAGGTTCTTATTACATTCTTCAAATTAATTTTAACAATCTTTATTTAGTGCCAACTCTGTGCCAGGGACCATGCTAAGAGCAGGGAACAGAAATGTGAACAGCTTGCATCTCTTCACAATGGATGAACATCTGGATAATGCTTCAACAGAAACAACCACCCACCCAAGTTCACATCTGTATAAGATTATCATTTTATCCATTCCATAACATTTACTTAGTACCTGCTTCCTACCACATTTTAACTAGCAAACACTGTCAAACATCTGGCATTTTGACAAAAGCGTATTATTCTTGGTAAAGTTTCTGCATGTGGTGTATCTCCTATACCATTGAGTTGGATTGGCATAGATATTCTCATTCTTCTACCTGCAGATAGTTTCTGTGATAGGATTTATAGTAATGGACACAAGAAGGTAAATACTGAGGAAGGTAAGGAGGAGAGGAATCTGGAGAATTAAAAATCCTCCTCCTAAGCTTAGACTTGGTCCATTATGGGAAATATTGAGGTGACCCTTTTCTTATTCTCTTTCTTTGAAGATGGCTGCATTAGATTTGTATAAAAATGGATAATTACTTTCTTGTACACATGTTTGGTATTTCCTAGAGGAGATGCAGTAGGAAAATTCTTTCTTTGGGTCAGTCACATTTACATGACAACAGTTCTTGACTCATCAGATGTGTCATTGTTTAAAAAAATAAAAAAACTTTTTTGTAGTTGTAGATGGACTGAATGCCTTTATTTTATTTCTTTATTTTTATATCATGCTAAGGATCAAACGCAGTGCCTCACATATACTAGGCAAGTGCTCTGCCACTAAGCTACAGCCCCAGCCCCAGATGTGTAATTTTAACTAATTATGGGTGTCTAATAGTTGTAATGCATATAAGTACTGCTCCCTGTGGAATGATTATTGTGAAGATTAAATGAAATAGTGAAAGTAAAGTTTTTTTGGGTTTTTTTTAGCAGAGTTCCCAGTAGTATCTATGGCAGTGTTCAATAAGTTCATTTGCTATTATTTTAATTCTTTTCATTATCTTCCTCTTTATCTGCTAGACAAGTGGTTCTCAATGTTTTTACATGCCAACTACAATAGAATTATCTGCTTATTCTAAACAGTCAGGCCCTAGGCCAATGGCTGGCTAACTCACTAGGAATCTCTGATGAATTTTCAGGAACATGAAATGATGAGCCCAGGGTCCTGGGTTTTGTACTTGAACTCTCTATGAACAGGATGGGTTTATGGCTCTTGAAGCCTGTGAACTGAATCAGTCAGTGGTGGTTGGGATTTAATAACATCTATATGTTTATCATAGAAGTTAAGGAGAATCTGAGTGCTGCTTTCAAGGGAGATGATTATCTTCCTATTTCAAAGATACCCCTTTTTATGTTTAGACATTATACTTTCAATGTTAGGATGCTCTTCTAACTACCTAGTTTGATTCTAGGAGCTATTGACATTTTTTTCTGTTATTCTAAATTGTTTATTGGTGGTAGAATTATCACTATTACTGAACTAGTTTATAACAGAGATCTGTATAAAGAACTAATGAGAAATTAGATTGCATTTGAGATGTTGTTCTAGACCCATGGTATATGTGTCCATATGAGGAAAATTGAAACCTTAGAAAAAGTCCACTTATCCTTTGGGGCAGTCACATGTCAAGGGACAAATAACTTACATGATCTTTTTTTTATTGGTAGATGGGCATATACCTTTATTTTATTATTTTTATGTGGTTGGTACTGAGGATCAAACCGAGTACCTCACACATGCAAGGCAAGCACTCTGTCACTGAGCCACAACCCCAGAACTTCCACAATCTTTATGATTTGTTTGTGCGTATCTCTTAGACTTGCCTGCCTCTTAGACTTGTAAACAATCCAGATGCAAAAGTTCTTTGAAGAGATAAATATGGTATCACTTTAAATTTAATATATGCAAATGTATGCATTTTGTTGGGGAGATTTTTTGAAGGGGTGAATAAGTTTGTAAAATGTCATTAATATACACTGGACTCCATTGCATACTTCCATGTATCACACTGATTGTGGTCCAGTGTGGGCTATTCATTACAGTTAGATGTTTGAGTATTAGTTATTGATATCTATGCTTATTTGTTGAAATTGTACTCAGACTCATGGCTTGAAAATGTCATTGGAACAAAGAAGAGGTCTTTGTTATACACACTCCTTTCCCCAGAGACTGCACTGATGAACACCATAGGTATCTGATAAATAACTGTGTACATAGCATGTATGCTGCTCCTCAGAACTATTGGAATTAGTGTTATATTGATTTGGGGATGTTTTTAGTTGGATGTGTTATAAAATCAAATTTAGAGATCATGTATGTGAATATTGAAAAATTGATTACCCACTTCTTCATAATCATTCCTCTTCTGACATGAAAGCCAAATATATTGTAATTCAGATATTTTATATTATTGGGGAGTGTTTGGTAGCTTTCAGTACTGAACTGATCATTTTAATGAGTTTTCTCCTCTTCTGTCCTCTTTGAGTGCAATTTAGAGTTATGTGGTAACGTGATAGGAAAGCGTTTCCTAAAGTGAGGTTTATAACCAGATAAACCTAGTTTCAAGCCCCATCTGCACATCCCAGTTGCAAGAGGCTGTGAGTAGTTAATTTCTCTACACCTGTGTTTTCCCATGAGGGTCTAGTCATATTTCCCTGTGGGATCTCTGTAGGGGGTTTTAATGTGGTAGTAGACTCTACATGCTGACTATGGTATTTGACACATTATGACCTTTAGGTGTAGCTTTTAAAGTTGCTTTTCTAAACAGATGTTCTTTCTCTTTTCTTTTTTTTTTTTTTTTTTTTTTTTTTTTGGTGTGTGTTTTCTTTTACAGATGGATATACCACTGATGACATTGAGTTTTACTGGCGTGGGGATGACAATGCCGTGACAGGAGTAACCAAGATTGAGCTCCCGCAGTTCTCCATCGTAGACTACAAACTTATCACCAAGAAGGTTGTTTTCTCCACAGGTTCGTATCAGGGAAATGAATCTTCATCATAGTTTTTCAAAAGGCTTCACTTTCACTGAGGTCCTGTCCCAGGAAGGATCATGACTCTCAAGGATTTGGCTCTGCTGAAAACCCTGCTCCCCATAGAGCCTACAGCTCCATGCAGAACCCAGGCAGCTCCTCTCCAGAAGGTGCCCCAGCAAAGCTCAGAGGGTCATCTGCATGTGCCTCATGCTAGAGAAGGGACTAAGATTTTAGAAACGGGATACAGAAGAGTTGAAGACCTGAGTCAGAGAGGTCCCCAGCTCAATGCATTCCTGAGAACTTATGATCATCCTGGGGCCTAGAATGACGCAGTGGAAGTCCTCAGGGCAGAGGAGAAGAGTTTTATGATCTTCACCATTCTGCCCCTTCCAGACGTTGACATCATCCTACTGTCTTTGCCATCTTGGCCCTTTCAACCCTGAGACTGGAGATGGCCAGACTTGATGTCATCAACATAATTTTTTACATTTTTTTAAAACAAAAAAAAAAAAAAAACAGGAAAACAATTATTTTCTAGATATTAATTTAGTAGCAAAAGAAATTGAAATCTTACAAGAATGCTTCACTTTATGTATTTTTCCATTGAAGTGAACCCCATTGGCACAGTAATGGCTAATACTGTAACAGTAAATATAGAATCACCTTTCTGCTAAGAATTCAGATACTTCTTGTCCCTATAAACCAAAAACCATTTAAAGCAAGAGCTGTGTGACTTGGTAAATATACCAAGTTGCCTCTAGCTTAAAAAACACTATTTCCAAAGTGGGATGTCCTCCAAATCCCTAAACAGACCAAAACATAAAGGAAAGAAAACAAACTGAAAACTTTTCCAAGGGATAGAATCTTTCAACCCCTAAAGCTCTTTGGGAAGGAGTTGCTGCTTCAAATATTCTTACTTTCATATTAAGGCATATTAGCCCAAGAAGACTAAATAAAGCTTCTCTCAAATAGTGGAAGTATCTCCCGTGCAGTGAATTAACGTGAACTTTTTATATTGTAAGAATGTGCTCTCCCGTGACTCTCATCCAAAGAGTAATGCCCTAGATCACTACAACCAAAAACCCAGACTTAGTAACCTATACTGTTAGTTGTTTTCCCCAAAAATGTTGCTCAAAAGCAATGATTCTTCACCATCCTGTGGATCAGGGGGCATTGAAATTGTTAAGAACTAATAAAGGATGCATGCACGTGAAAATCTACACCGAAGGGATTTTTATGTTCTATGATCAGAGCATGCAGTTTTATTCTTATGTAAGAGAAAAGCTGTAGGGTGAACTTGCTGGGGGACGATTAAGAAAGGCAACAAAAGGTCCTCCCAAATAGTCTTGTCATCACAATGGCACAGAATCAGTCTCTGTTCCTGCAGTGTATGGCGCTGAGCAGGGAAAAGCAGGAATCCTTTTTAATCACTGGTGAGTACTGGATGTACTCCACACTGAGTAGCTTCTGCCACTGAGTAGCTCCTGCTAATTAAAACCCCAGTGCTCTCAGACTATTTTTGCTGGAGGGAAAAAACAAGTTCCTAAACCAAGAGCTAGAATTGAATTTAGGGAATATGTCAAAATGTTTATGGATTTTAATGGAAAGCATTGTGTAGTTATTAATTAATAATGATAACATTCTGAAATTGCCTTTCTAGGGTCCTATCCCAGATTGTCCCTCAGCTTTAAGCTTAAGAGAAATATTGGCTACTTCATCCTGCAAACATACATGCCTTCCATCTTGATTACGATCCTCTCCTGGGTCTCTTTCTGGATTAATTATGATGCTTCAGCTGCCAGAGTGGCTTTAGGTAAGCCATTTTCCAACTGCATGTGGGGTTTTACTCTGTGCCTGCATGTCTGCACATGCGTGCAGTTTCCTACCCAGGGATTTGTAATGCCTGACAGGACTGGACCTTGCCCATTACAAGAGTTTAGCCTTCAGACTTTGGGTGATCTGATTCACCATTAAATCAATTAAACATGAATTAAAGCTCTTCCGTGTCAAAATTAGTTAACTATATAGCTATTGGTAATGAAATTAGATTCATTGGTTTCATATTTTTATTGAAACATATTTCATGTAATATTGCTTGCATAATTGTTCACTTTGCATCCATTCTATGCTTCTACACCTGAGAAGAGCTCCTTTCCAACTTTTTTTCATGAGACAAGGATATGCAATATGTAGTAGATGGATAAGCAAAAAGGATTCTACAGTTTTATTAATGGTTTTGAGCAGCATACAGAGGACAGAGACAGCAGAATAAGAACACTGGGAAATCATCTGTGGCACGGATTATCATAAGATATTTTTTTTTCTCTTATAACAACAGGAGGAGGATACTAAATTATATTTCTTAAACATTTTTGTTATTAACTCTGGGTAAAGTAAATTTATGACATTCTGTACAATCTTCATTATTTTCAGTTCTGACTATTCCCCTTAAAATATTGAATTGTTGACTTCTTCACCACGAGATCTCAAATTCCATTATGGCTTTCTTAGAAAGTCATTCATTATTCATTCAAAAAATATCTGTTGAATTCCTGATATGGTCTAACCAGACGGTGCACTGGATACAGCAGTCCTCTTCTGGAAGGTTTACTCAGGTAGTAAAAGATAGACAACAAATTGAATAACCATGCATATTATAGTATAGGGTAAATCTATAGAGGGGAATCAACCAGGTAAGAGGGCTTGAGTATACAACAGAGAACAGTTTAGGAAAATCAAGGCTGATCTCAGGGCAGAAGTTGTCCATAAAACACAAGAGTTCAAGATGAAGACCCAAGTAGCCCAGTTGGTGATGATATTCCCAGCTACTGCTAGTACGCTGAGGCAGGAACCATCGAAATAGGTTCGTAAGAATCTCCTGAGGCCAGGATAGAGTAAGCTCAAGGGGCGGAGTAAAGATGATATTGGGGAGGGAGGAATGAAAGCTCATGAAGGTTTTTATAGACTATGGTACAGACAGACATTGCCACTGAGCAAAAAGTGACAAGATTTGATTTCAGTTGGAAAGGGGTTCACGTTGGCTGATGTTCAGGTTAGATTGTGATGGCCCAAGGATGGAAGGGAGTAGAAGAAATGACCTCTGGGACTGAGGCAAGGCCTGTGATATATACTCTTAAAATCCTGTAGAGCTGCCCTATGAGGAGTAGCCATAGGTATAACTTTCATTATGCGATGAATTTTCCTCCCACAGTACTGAAGGATCCCCAGGGGAAGATCCAAATCTGGTATTGTATCCACAGTGTCCTGCCTGGGGAATGGTGCTCAGTAATTGTTCCCTGAATAAAGGAATGCATACAGTTTGAGAATATCCTATTTTGCTAAAGTTAAAATCTGTTATCTACTTTGTGTGTGTGTGTTATAGAATCAAGAAATAATTATTTACTTTTTAAAGGAGATTTTTGAAACATCTTTTTAGGTGAGCAATTTGCTATTATTTTCAGAAATACCTCAAAATCAGACTTAGTCAAATCAACATTGTCTCATCATGTGGAGCAGGGTAGTCTATAGTTGAAATGAAGAAGAGAACAAGAATGATTAACAAAGAAAAAAGAGGAGAACCGTTAAGATGCTTCAATTAACATAAAGCAAAACCAAGGCTCAAATCTATATTTTCTGTAGTTTTTCATGAAAATCTACAGAAGCAAAATAAAAAGTATGATGTTATTGCTAGATAAAAATCGAATCAGAAAACTATGTCCTCAAAAAGTCATAGAAATAAAATTTAGCCTTTGAGATATGCTGTTGGAAAGTGTTAAAGGGAACAGTTAAAAATACGCTGTTTTAAACAGTCATGGTACGACTTCCCATCTGTGTGATCTTGACCTCTGAGCTTTGTCTATTTTCACATCACTGTTTGGCAACAAAGTTGGAATTTATCATGCTCAGAACTCTGGACTCCTGTGCTCTTTACCTTCCAATTACAACTTCGAGGAAAACTACTTGCGACAGCCAGAACTGTCCACCCTACTGGATGAGCAGTTAGAGTCTAACCCAGAGTGGCATTTCCCATAGGACTCTTATAATACTTCTGAGCTGTTTATGTGGGCATTGTGCCTGATTGTCCAACCCTAAGCCATGAGAACTGACTCCTGCTTCTCTGCTACCCTCCACTTCCAGTTTCTGAAATGTTGACAGTGGTTCATTTAATGCCATCTGTATAATGCGTCCATTGATTTCAGAATCATTGCTATTATCTTACTTCCTCTCTGTCATTTAAGTGGATTTTTCCAGAAGCCTCTGAACTGGTGTCCTTTATTGTCTTGCCTGTGTCTCCCACACAACACACTGCTACCAGAGTGACTGTCCTAAATTCAGTTGTCTATAAGTTTCCTGCTTGAAGGCCAGTGCTGGCCAGTGCTTCACATTGCCTTTAATTTAAATGTCTTCTTGGGCTCCCCATCTTGCAGCCCTTTCTTGAATCTCCCCTCTTCTCACAATTCAATTCATCCTGCTTAATAATGCACCCATAATTTTTCTTACAAACCCAACCTTTTATATCAAGTTTTCTCCACCCCAGTACCCTGATGTATTCCTTAAATATCGACCTCCAGGCCTTGTTCACCAGGGTAATGATCACTCAGTCTTCAGAAACCTGCTCAGACATATCCATTTCCTATTCTCCTCCCCACTACCTCATGGAACTGAACTAGAGTCTTCCCCATATAATCATTTTATGCATACGGTTATAATAACATTTAATTCACTAGTTATAATAAGTATAAATTAAAAAATATAATGAAAGGAAATCTCCCAAAGTGATTAATGTTCACCATAAGCTAATATATGTACATCCCCAGGGCCTATCACAGAGCTGATATATAATAAGTGCCCAGTAAATATGTTGTGGTTTATATAAATGAGTAAAATCAACCTTTCCAGTGATTGTAAGAGCAAAAAGGAAATGGGAATATCATTATTCTAACATTTTTCTTTTTCCTTTTTTTTTTTCAGGAATTACAACTGTACTAACAATGACCACAATCAACACTCACCTCCGGGAAACTCTCCCCAAAATCCCTTATGTGAAGGCCATTGACATGTACCTAATGGGGTGCTTTGTCTTCGTTTTCATGGCCCTTCTGGAATATGCTTTGGTCAACTACATTTTCTTTGGGAGAGGACCCCAACGCCAAAAGAAAGCAGCAGAGAAGGCTGCTAGTGCCAACAATGAGAAGATGCGCCTGGATGTCAACAAGGTAAATTCAGAGGGCAAGCCCTCTTGCTTCTTAAGTGCATAGAGGAATGCTACTAGTATAGGCTTCTGGCCTTCCTCAAAACAGGAGGAAACCAAAGCCCCAGGGAGAGAATAGATAATTTTCCCAAAATTACAAATATATTTAGTGAGAAAGGCACAATTATGGCCCAGACTCATCACCCAAGCTTTGAGTGATGCCCTTTCCATGAACTGTAGGTTTTCCCAAAACTTTGTCTGAGAACCACCTATGTGACTTTTTCCCCAGGCATAAGTATATTGTCTATTTTATTTACATTTCTTTAATTTATTCACCTTAAATTTTTATACTTTATGTCACTCAAATTATTATTACTTTCTGGAGGATTTTTTAAAATAAATAAAAATAAATAACAGGACTTTGGACCTAAAATATTTATTCTCTTAAACTTAAAAGTATAATAAACAATTCTAAAGATGTGTTAAGACCCCCAGCAACAAATTGAGACTTCCCCCTTAGGTCATCAGACAAGTGTGGAAGGAAAAAAAAAAGAGGAATAGATTTTTTCATTTAGTGACACAGGATCACAGGATTACTGCACACCTTGCACATACACCCTTATCATTGAAGCAGTTGACATATGAGGCCACCATCTTGTTTATGTCAGGCATAGTGAAAAACTTCCTGCATGATAGTAAACACTGTTTTTTCTTTAGAACAATCATTTTCAACCTTAGCTGCCAAATGGAATGATGTGTAGAGGATTAAAAAGAATACTGAAGGCAGGATCCCTTCCCCCAGAATTCTCATTTGAGTATCTTGGGGTATGCCTTGATTGCATACTCTTTAGTTTCCTCAGGAATTCTGATTTGCAGCCAAGTTGAGAAATCACCACTTTGAGGCTTCTGTCAAGAGTCCCAATGGAGTTAATCCACATTAATCCCAGAATGGAACTTTACCTGGCTTCCTGTTATAGAACTTTCTGCACTAGACTGTATAATTGTGTATGCATTTCCCAATAGTCCAAATTTAGATCCTTTGAAATAGATAATGAAAACAAGGTCTTGACTTAGTATCTGCTTGAAGTAGTGTTTAGCAAATAATGTGTAATATTGAGTTCAATAAAATGGTAATAGGACAAAGAAAGCAACAAAATCTTTAAACCATATGGAGTTATTCTGTATAATAATAATAATTGATTATTTAATTGATATTTTAATTTTATCTAGCTTCAGATTAATTTCAGGATAGAACATATAAATAATCTCTACCATTGGGATTTATTTGAGTAAACCTTGTGGAAACTTATGTTTCCCACATACCCATAGGTCGGTTATTTGACTTTAGACTATTCTCTAACCAAAGGCACTTCTTTCTCAGAACATGATGTTAATAATGATGCAAATAATAAACATAGGCTTTGAAAGCCAATGAGCCATGGGGCCAAGGAAATTATTAATTTCTTACCAATGCCCAGGGTTTCACTGAATGGAGTCTTTTGGTTGGTAGATTCCAACCTACACTCATGGCTTTCTTGGGCTGTCAAATGTCAGAGTACTTCTAACATCCATTTCATGATTTACCTAATATTATAGTCTTAGTAAAGGAAAGAGAATGAATAAATAGCACTATCTCAGAGGACTGCAGCTTAAGATGAGTTTAAATCAATTGCCTAACGCAAGGCTGACTTCATAAGATAGCATCTGAGCTCTCTCACTTTCATCTACCCTATTTTTCATACTGATTTGCATTTAAATGATAAATTTAAGATCTAGATGGTGGATATTGTATATGAACGGAATCTGGAAAGCTTTAGGTGTTTTACACTCAATTGTACTGAGCTGGAGTAGAGAAAGCTTCACTTATCAGGTACCTCACCAGGTTGAAAAGCCCATCCTCTGGGCTGCAGATAGATCCACAACTGAGGTGATAAAATACAAGAGAATAAGAAAGATATCTAAAATCCTCCTTTTTCAGTGTTTCACAGACAGGGGCGATTTTGTCTCCCAGAGAATTCTTGACAATGTCAGAGGATATTTTTGGATGTCAAACTGTGAGAAGGGCATTGCTACTGGTGTCCAGCGTGATGAGGTCAGGGATGCTACTATCCACCCGCTAGTGCAGAGGACAGCTTTCTGTAGCAAAGACCTGTCCAGCTCAGAGCATCTGCTCCTCAGTCTCAAACATGAGAAACTGAGGCCAGAAAAGAACAATATGTTTGTGTTATTCTTAAAATTCTTTAATAGAAGTGACCTCCATACGAGGTAAGGACTCTGCTAGTCATAAATATTAATAAACTATTATTGTCAGGCATTATTACTTTTAAAATAAAATTTATAGTTTCCACACTTATGGACGATGCTTGCTTGTGCGTTTTATGTGGTCTAGCAGTCACATGTAGGGGGCAGTCACAACCCTTAAGGAGAATATGACCTGGAAAGGAATGTTGTATGGCAGAAATTTTAAAGTTAAAGCAAGGAAATCACTTTTCAATGAGTGTTCACTCTAAAGTTTATAACAAACCCACTATGTCAAGCTTTATTGAATAGAATGGAATACATCTAGATGAGATTAAAACAAAAAAAAGTTGCATCTAATATTCCAGGTCCCCGTGGTTTCATTTTCAACCCAGCATGAAAAACCACACTGGGTTCTGATTGTCCAATGCTTTCATTTGTGTTGGTGTCAGGAATAATGCTACTATTTCTTGTAGAGCATTGTGAATGGGGTAGTTTTCCATGTCCCTTCTCTTCATTGTCTTTTTTCAAAGATCAGGCACATATCATCAACTAAATATTTTATACTCTGGGGGAAAAAAAAATCAGTCACTAGGAGAGGGATTGAATTTTTCACCTTTGGTAGTTTCCTAGAGTTGAAAGTAGTGTGTCCAATCACCTAAACTTACTGTTAAACTGCTCTGCCCTGAGGTCAGGGGTGGATCAAAATGGGAAGCCAGCCCTGATGGGAACCCATTGTTCCTTGAGCAGATTCTTCAGTACTTTTCCCATTTCTGTGTTAGTTTCTCTTAACTTTTTGTTTGAATAAGGAAGTTTGTGGCTTCTAAATTACTATCCTGTCATTTAAGTGATGCAAAAACTAAAACCCTTAAAGAAAATGCAACAGCCCAGGTTGCATAGCGAAGTAAACACTTCTGAGATGCGCTTTGGGTTTTCCCAGCCATATTCAGTGTATATTCCACAGTGCTAACAAATGAAAAAAAATAAAGTTACATTGAAAAGGTCATTCCACATCAGTTCATATATTCAACTCAATTGACTTCACAAAAAAAAAAGAAAGAAAAGAAAAACTCTCTGCACATAGAAATCCATAAGCAAGTGTCACTTTCACAGTTGCCTTCATGTGACAAATGACGGTGGGAAATATCAAGACTTTTTAAGCAATCTTCACACCAACATGAAGTCTATGAAGTAGTTTTCCCAAGTGTCCTCCACAGTTCAGAAAATATAATACCCTCCAAAATAAGAGTAAAAATAAATTTAAAAAAAATCCAATCTCCCTGCTAGTGCCAGGAGAGTCCTTTCTGTTGTCCCTTGAATTCTTGTGTATATGTGTGCACTACTGAGTGTTTCCTGATAGAATTTCCTTTTGATTAATTTTCCTCCCTGTTTTTGATCAGGCCTTCAAGTTTTCAACTCTCCTTTATTTTTTCTTAAAGTCTTATGTTTTCTCCTGGTTTATTTTTCTGCCAATTACTAAGTATATGCATGTTTGAAAAGTTAGTTAGTCTTGCCTTTTAGCCACGTTACTTATTACATATTTGAAATGCCTCCAGAATCTTTACTGCATTGAGAAACCCACAAACCCCAGTTTTCTTTTTTTTTCAAGTATATAAATAATTGTATGCTGAAATTTATAGAAGTCTTGTAGAAATTTTAAATTCAATAAAGTAATACATAAAAGATGAACATTTGAAAATATATAATTTTCATATACACCAAAAATGAAATCAGAAAAATAATCATATTCATAAGCATCACAATAGAGATGCCCCAAAAGATCTTCATTTGGAGGTGTTCTTTATTCTACATTCATGGTTGTTGTGAATCTCTGTATTGTCTTTTCCCATTGTGCCTAATCTTTTGTAATGCAAAGCCGCTAAGATTTCTTTAATCTATTTCTACTGCTTGTAATTAATTTTTTAAAAATACATTTTTTAAACCCAAATAATTGGCATTCCCATGCTCTGCTAGCATTGCTCTATCTTTATGCTTTCTAGAGACCAGTAGCATTTATCTATATCCAATTTACTTTAACAACCCATCCCAATCTACTGGCATCAGTCGACTTAATTAGCACATTCTCTACTTTGTCTTCCAGATTTTTTATAAAGATATTAAACAAAATGGGACCCAATATCGATCCTTGTGGGACCCCACTGGAAACCTCTCCCCAACTAGACGGACTACCAATTACGATTTCTCTCTGTATACGGTTAGATAGCCAGTTTTTAATCCATTTATTTGTATTTCTGTTGGGACCAATTTGCTTAGCTGTTCCCTTTAAAGTAATGTTTGAGATCTTTGCAGATAACTTATAGACATGCATCCATAGAGATTTCGGGATAAGTTCAGGTTTTCATGAGACCTTAATGGGGTTTTCTCGGGTTTGTTTTTTTCAATATGGCTATGGTGGACCTAAGCCTCAGTGTTCCAATGAGGAACTGCTGTTAAGCTAGAGAAAGAAAGCAATTGGCTCTTGTTTTGAGATCCCTTTGCATTTTTCTTAAAATAATAGAGTATAGAACATTTGATGGCATTTCTTGGTTTTGTTGTTGGTTGTTTTTTGTTTTTGTTTTGTTTTGTTTTGTTTTTTCCTGGTTAGTTGAGTAAGTAGGAAATGAAACGTTTCCAACATTCTATTGGTTGGCTCAGAATTCAGGAACCTGTACTTTCTATCCTAGATTATTAATTTGTGTCTAAGGATGTTATACTTGCATCAAGTCCTTGTTGCTTTATGATTTATTTTATGAATATGTATTATCTTGGCAGGCTCAGCACTATCAT